GGAAGATCACTTTAAACTATTTGTCTATCTTTGATCTGTCAGGAAATAACATTAGCAGAGGAGGTACTAATAATATCTTCCTGCCAAAGATAATCTAAATTGTCTTGATTGGTATAAGCATGAAACCAATCAAAGAAAGGAATATTTTGCTCAACTTTCTCGAGAAATTTATAAAATTTCTCTTGGATGTTGGATCTATTATTACCTTTTTAGATCTGAAAAAACCATTCTCTCTGAGGTTTCCAGTCCTCATAATAGAAATTTTTCTAAGGGTTTCCTTTGTAACATCCTCGTTTTTATATTTATTATGATAGCATTGAATGTTGGTTATATTTGTGAAGTTATTCGAATTTTAGAGAGTTTAAATGATGTAGGTTGCAGGATATCTCGATGTAGCGAGATATCTCTCGCTGTGGCGAGAAGAGCATTCAAAAATCAGGCATTTTGATGCTCTCTCGTTGTAGCGAGGATGCTCTCGCTGTAGCTAGAATGACAGACAACAAAGTGCAATTTGTCTGATTTTTTCGCTACAGCGAGAGGAGGGCTCGTTGTAGCGAGAATTTATCGCTGTAGCTCGCTGTAGCGAAAATGTCGCGAGTCTAAGGGTATTTAAGGGTTTCCAACTTAGAAAACTTGGATTATAATCCAAGTTTCGAGCTCTCCCTTATTCTCTCGACCCCTAACCCTCTCTTCTTAGAAAATCTCTCCAAAACCTCAACTTTCTTTCAAATCCAAGCTTGAAAACTTTATCAATAAACTCCAAGTAAGTTCTTGGATTTTTGTTTTCTCTTTTTGGGTGTTTTCTAAGTTTCTCCTTTCTCAAAATGTTCTCTTTTGTGATATCTAGGAAGATTTTGGTCCTTTCACCTAAAACCCTTCACAAAATCTCTTTCTAAACTTTGTCTCAAGGTAAGGAGAGTTCTATTTTGTTATTTTAAGCATAATAATTATTTTGTAACCATGTGAGTACCTTATGTATGTGTTTTAGTATAATTCTTATAATTGATTGACATTGAATTTTTATGAAAAATATGTTTGGCTGATTTTGGGTGTTAATTATATGTTTGAGTAGTCCGTTTGTTTGGAATTTAGTTCGGAAGTGCTTTACTAAGCACAATCTCTTATTGAATAATGAGTTCAGTACGAAAGGGAGTGTGAGATAAGTGTAAGAAACTGAATGGTTCTATTGTGAATAGTTACAGAGATATACTGGGGGTATAAAGTCCGGAGACGATAGGAAATCTGGGGGAAATGTAAGGTGGTAAGCGACATTCGCATAGCTGTACACATTCTTTCTGAGAGCGAATGCGCCACATGGCCTCATACTCGTTTCCTGACTAGATTCCTGACTATACCTTTGCTAAGAGGCCCGTTATTGTATACGTTGTATCCGTATACATGGGCTAACCGGCGACTATTTATCTAGTTGTATAGGACCTTAAGAACTGCTGAAGGCATCGTATAATTGTTATCACAATGCACTAAATGTCCGTATCCAAAAGAGAGCAACTTAATAATTATGAATATGTGTATGTCTAATATATTGCTTTGAGATTTATGTTATTATGATTCCTTGTATTCCATGACCATGATGGTGCTGTTATATTAGTCTTTAAAGTAATATTATGTTTTAAATGATAAGATAGGTGCTCATTCTTACTGATAATTTTAGGGAACCAGGATGACGAATCCGCAGGGAAGAGTTAGGCAGGTAGATAGTTCTGGAGACTTTAGATTAAATTACGTATTTAATGAATACCAGCGTGTAAATCATTTTAAATTTGCTGTATTGGTAGAGAATAACCCTAGGGCTTATGTCATGATAGAGATGGATCTTATAGTATTCCATTCAACTTTCCTAGGAGTAGGATACACCAAACCTTATGTGTATATATATATAGGGGTACAGTTAGAACCCCAACATGACCACGACTCTCTAGGAAGACCTACCCGTTGGACCTTTGAGCACGTCACGAGGACAAAGGTTAGAGCTGACTCTGGCGACAAATATTTGGGATCTGATGATGACCTAGACTTTGAGGACTTAGCCGAGATAGAGAGTTGAAATGCTGGAGATGAGTATAATTGAGGCTGCTTTGGAATCCTTTTTGTAGTGTTTGGTGTTGTAATTATTATTTTGATCTTTAGATACTCAAACATACACTCTGTAAATTAATATACTGTATTGTGAAGTTTATGTATAGCCTTTTTCTTCACTTTTGATTATGGTAATTTCGGAAGTTTTATGCTATTGCACTATTCTATTGATTTTAATCGAAATATTTGATTAAATTGTAGTAATTACTTTCAGGAAAATTTTATGATATCCGAATTTCATATTGAAATTGAATTGAAAAGGAAAATTATTTATATGTACTAAATTTGAAATAAGGACGTTACATCCTTATCTATAACAAACTTATGAGACAATATCATAAGACTCCTTAAGGGAGGAATAAGTTAGAGATTAGATACTCTGATTTTTATCTTCCTTATCGGAAGTTTGATAAACAGTTCTAAGAATACTAGAAGAGGTATCTAAACCTTGTAGGTTTATATGAGATGGATCATGAGCTACAGATCTAGGTATCTCAGATCTAAAAGTTTAGAATCTAGAAGAGAATGATCTCCTAGTAGATACAAAATCAGATTGTCTGCTAAAAGCATCAATCCTAGAGGAGAAAAAGTTTCTCCTATTAAAGGTTATCTCGACTTTCTTAGAATTATTCTGAGAAATATCTTGAATTTGAGGAGTAGGTTTAGGGATACAGGGCATAGCCTTGTCCATAACCCATTTCTCAGGGAGAGTAACTTCACCCCATTTGATGATTCTAGGAAGAGAGACATTAGCCTTTGTCATATTAGTGATAAACAAAGTAGTCTAACCTTTCTGAGGCTTGAGAATGACTCTGGATGCACAAGATTTCATGACCTTGTACTGGATCTTATAGATAAGAGCTGTGGGAATAGATCCATCTTTCATGTCCAAACTATGAAAGCAAATATTGAAAAACAGAGAGTCTTCGAACTTATTGTGACGAACATCTCTGAGACACATTAAGACAACGACATCTATACCTATGTCTATTAAAGGTTTAATTGCAACTTGAACACATCCTATATGGAGGTATTTGTATTTTCTTTTGTAGTCATTAATCGAATGTTTCGACAGTACGTGAAATTCTTTTCCTATGTCTTGACCTAGGGAAATATTATTTTCAACAGTCTTGATAATGTAATCAGAACTGTTTCTTTTGATTTGTTCTTCAGGAACATATAATGTATCCTGAGAAATTTCTGAAATAGTCCAATCGTCATTCATGCTTTGATTGATTTCTTCAAAGTGAACTTCTTCGTTGAAGAAGTTATGTAAAATTATATGTTACATAACTAGATCTAGAAGAAAAAGTTTTATATATATATATATAATATAACATAATAAGTCTCTCTAGTTTCTTTTTTCATTTCTTCTGTTACATTACAATTTTATGATTAGATTTAGATGACTTTTTGTCCTAAAAACTGATCTAATCTGAAAACACCTTTGCCTCAACCAATATATGGTGGTTTGTGTTGAGAAAAGTTCTGAGTTTATTTGGCATGATATAACTAAAAATATCAAACACATTATAAAAATATAAGTAAGATACAATAGAATTTTTGAAATTTTAAATAAAGGTAAAGAAAAATAAATCAATACTTAGTTTAGATTTTTGGTGAACCGGTTTAAAACTAATTTTAAAATCAATTTTACAAAAAAATTAAAATTGGTTTTAAACTCATTAAGAAATAGTTTTTCTTTTTTCTTTTTTCTTTTTTACACCTAGTTTTTCCTATAATAAACTTGTTTCAAATTCAATTGATGAACTTGTTTTTAACTGATTTTAAATTTATTAAGAAATGCTAGTTTTTTTTTAATTATTATTAAAGAGGAGCCTAAGCCCAAAAAAAAAGGAAATTACACATGAATAGTAGTGGGGGCAGAAATCCCTATAGAATGAATAAGGAGATCCTGATACATATCTTGTTGAGGAGAGTCATATAGGAATAAACCTTATTTTGTACTGTGCAATCATGTTTTGACCTAGGACGGGTATTCTGGCAGTGGACAATGAACTAAAAGAAACTAGATCATCCTGCAATCTTCTATATGGATGACATGAAACAGTGAATTCCCTTAAACGTTGAGGAAGAGTTGGAAAAATCAACACAATGCAAATGGAACACAATTTGGGTTGGATTGGGAGAAACAAGCACCATTTTGATGATAGTTTTAGTAGACCAGTTCGTCTTCTCATACAAGTCTCAAAATAAAATGCTTCAAGTAGGTTCCACTGTAAAAAATATATTGCAGTTGGACATTAAATGGGCACCTCCTCTTGTAAATTAAAATTGGTTGTGGAGATTAATTCGGAATTCTCATGTTATATTAAATTTAGTCCCATTATTTCGTCATTGTGCTGATTTTATTTTTTTAATCTTTATACTTATGCTTTATTTCAGTCTATCTGTATAAAATATTCCACAATTTGACCTTTTCACATTATATGTCATTTGATGTTTTGATCATTCCATTTAAAATAAGCTGATGCAATTACAATTTTAATAAGGTAAATAACGGGAACTAATTGATATATATTCTTATATATATAAAAACTAAAATAAAGCCTATTTTTATATAAGGTCTAAAATAAAAAAATTAAATATAGACTAGAAATAAAGACCAAAATTATAATTCAACTTAATATATATATATATATATATATATATATATATATATATTAATCATATTTAATGATAGATAAACAGCAGTTGAGGGATAATTTTGCAAATCTAACATCTATTTGGGGGGACTGTTTTGCAAAGTTCAGAAAAGTATCAGCAAAGGTAAAAAATGAATCCAGACCATTCATTAGAATATACATATATGGCATCTAACGCTCCAAAATACGCTTTTCTCTTGGCTTAAAGCCGAAGGCAAGACCCAACACAGCACAACACAACACACGAAGACTCGCTATCGAAACACTCTTGTGGCACTCGCTGGTATTCTGGACAACACATTCCTCTACTCGCCCTAGATTTTCACAGCATCGCTTTTATTCTATTTTGTTTTTGGTTTAATTCGGAGTAGTTTTATGGTTACATTTTGGTGACTTGATTTGTAGGGTCAGTTTTGATTTACGATATGTCTACAACGTTAGATCTTCCTCCCAAGGGTGGATTCAGTTTTGATCTATGCCGAAGAAATGAAATGCTTGAACAGAAAGGCCTTAAGCCTCCAACCTTTTTGAAAACTGGCACCACCATTGTCGGTTTAGTTTTCCAGGTTTGTATTTTACTGCATATTTTATTATTTTAGTTTTAATTTGTGTAATATGGTCTGGTGCTGAATTTTCCTGCACATTAATTTTGTCTCAGGATGGTGTCATTCTTGGAGCTGATACTAGGGCAACTGAAGGACCCATTGTGGCTGATAAAAACTGTGAGAAAATTCATTATATGGCACCCAATATATATTGCTGTGGAGCGGGTACTGCTGCTGATACAGAGGCAGTAACGGGTATTGTTCAAAATGATTCTTATTACCCTTATGGATTTGTAAATAAAACCATTGAAAATGACATGTTTGTTGTTTAATCTAGATATGGTTAGCTCACAGCTGCAGTTACATCGTTACCATACCGGTAGAGAATCAAGAGTTGTTACAGCACTGACTCTTCTTAAGAGACATCTTTTCAAGTTGAGTTTGGAACTTGCATACTAAGTGGATTTTCTGTGTGTGTCAACTTCTGATTCTGACTTTTTTAAAATATTATGCAGTTATCAAGGTTATGTCTCAGCTGCTTTAGTTCTTGGTGGGGTTGATATCACTGGACCTCACTTGCATACTGTTAGTTCGTTGCTTAAAACTTTTCTTTTATGCTCAAGTTTCCTTGTTTTGAATGCGTGTGGTTTGATTTCTCACGCCTTTTGATGACTTGTTTTGCAGATTTATCCCCACGGCTCAACCGACACCCTCCCATTTGCTACAATGGGATCAGGTTCACTTGCTGCAATGTCTGTATTTGAGTCCAAATACAAGGAAAGCTTGAGTGTAAGTAAGCGCTCAGAAATCACGCTTTCTTCAATTGAGCTCTTCATTAGAGTATTTTTGAGGAAAGACACCCTTAAAACCTCTTAGACAAGGGCATTTGGTAATATTCTGTCAAAAGTTGTGTTATCTATAATCTCTTTTCAGTGAAATGGTATGAAGCAAATATGTAAATCTGGAAGTGTAAATGTAAAATTTGCATTATATTTTATTTATAGTTGATACTGGTAGTGTTTGTAACTTCTATCATGTCAAAATATTGCAATTTGATAGAGATTTAACTTGCTGATGTTCTGCAGAGGGATGAAGGTATAAAGCTAGTTGTTGAGGCGATATGTGCTGGTATATTTAATGACCTGGGAAGTGGGAGTAATGTTGATGTGTGTGTGATTACTAAGGTTAGTGCCTTGATACCCAATTCTATGAGTTATTCTGCTAGGGTTGTAATCTAACTTTAGACTCTGTTCAATTTCTTCATTAATGACAAATCACAGGGACATAAGGAATATCTGAGGAACCACCTTCTACCAAATCCTCGCACCTTTGTCAATCCAAAAGGCTTTACCTTCCCCAAAAAGACAGGTTGGTTGTGAACTTAACTAATTTACTACACTTGCAGCTGCAATAGCACTGTATTGTTTTTCTTTGTATTGTGTGTCAACTGTCAATAGGTTGCAGTTATACTTGCATAACTTAGTTTCTTACCTTCTAAAAATGTGATATTGGGAATATAATGTTGTGAAGTATCAAACTTAGATAATAGCTCAACTTATATAAGACACACTCAACTTATAATAATGTACATTTTACCTCCTTGTTTGTACTTAAAATTTAAACAATCATCTGCCTGAATGGATATAACATTGTGTAAATTGCATCTATTGTTGCTACTTGTTTAAATAAGGATTTGTGTATGTTAAGAGAAAATAAAACGAAAGAGCATTGAGTGAATCCATGTGTCTCAATTACACACCGGAGCATATATTTATACTAAGAGCATTAATACAAGGATTAATTACTGAGATATTATGGCTACCTAATTACCATAATTACAGGAATATTATTTTCTTAAATACAGCATATCATCTCCCTAATTACAGCATTATTATAATTACATATTTTCATATTTGCATATTTTTAACAGTGTATTTGACATACACTTTTCAAATTTGAGAATATGTTAGATGACTTAGATCCCAATCACCAGGCATAGATTAGGTGGCGTGGAAAGGGAACAAGGTTTACGGGTCATGTATGGTGGGCTGAGAAAAAATGCGACAGGTGATCATTATTGGTATCTGCAATGTAGAAACCTGCACATGTACAGGATCGGAAAGGAGCCAGGGAAGGGAATCAGTTAGAGCAGGGAGAATGGGAGAAGATTGTGGGGAGGAGGGTAGAAGGAGAGGAAAGCCATCTATTGTTTGAGTAGAAGGAAGTGGAAAAGGAGGGAGTGGCCTATGTTTGGTAGTGACAATCATAATCTCTGTATTCAGTATTGGAAAGGCTGTGTGTGGAAGTTGCTAATAAACTACCAATTTGTTTCATCTGGTTCCTTGGACACAAAAAAGGGATGGGCCAATAAACAAGGCTACATGTAGAGGTTGTATGCACAGCACCATGCATGTCATACACAATTCCGTTAACTGTTTAAATATAATAGTAATTATGTTTGTATTATCCAAATCTTGCAATTTTGGGGGCTGATTGTTTCAATTGGAGGTGACAAGGATGCAAATTGCACATAGCCTTAATTTGAAGAGTCTTTAGATAATATATGCCCATAAAATTGTTTAAATAAAGAAAACTTCCTACAGGGGATTGTGAAAATAATTGAACATCAAATGATAGGAATGTCTGATTGTGTTTCCTTATTCCGCTTCCTTTATTTTTTGCTGATTAAACAGTATGGAGTATGTTCCTTTTGAAATTGATATTAGTCTCTACTAATTTATATTCTCCATGACAGAGATTCTCTTAACAAAGATTACCCCTTTGAAGGAGAAGGTGGAAGTGATTGAAGGAGACGCTATGGAAGAGTAGCAAATAATCCAAAAAGTAATTGGTGTTTTGAGTAAGAAACTTGATTAGTGCGATGATTGTGATAGTTAATTATTATTGTGCATTCAATACTTCGGCTTTTGTTACCAAAAAAATGTGTATTTAATTAGATTGTTGCAAGTTATTTCCTCAAATTTCTTCATTTGGTAGGTGACTTCATCTCATTTCTAGTTTTTGGCTAGAAAATATTTCACACCAAATAGAGGAAAATAAGCACTATGTGTTGGATATACAATTTGATTGACGAAAGACGTTACATGTTTTCTTTTGGTTTTTCAAGTATTTGTTATATTCAAAATTGACAACTTTGAGAGGATGTTTTTGTTAGCAAGTGGGGAACTAAAGGAATCAAGTCACATGATGGAAACTTTTGAAAATAAATTTAATGCAAGTAACATCCTTTAAGGACCAAATTGGATATCTATTACTCCGAATAGCACAAGAAGTGAAGAATTAGTTCCACAGAAGTTCTCATAGCAGGAAGGATAAAAAATAAACGAACTTTCTACTGTAAGTTATAAATAATTTTTCTTTTTAAATTTGAAAAAAATTAAACAGGAATTTAGCAAAAAAATAAAAATAAACAGGAAGCATCAGAGAAATAAAAGTTCTTTTTTAACTTATAATAAAAAAAATATTTTTTTATATAATTTTTTTATAAGTCTTCTTTTAAAGTTTATCCAAATAGAGCTTATAATGTTTACTTCTGAAAATAAGTTATTTATTTATTTTATATTATTTAGATTGACATGTTTTCATATAAGTTTTATAAATTAATTTTATAAAATGAAATTTATAAATATTTCATTGTATTATTCTATTTTAATGTGTAATATAATTTTTGAATATAAGTAAATATTTAAATTTAGATAATATACTTATAAATGTTTACATTATGTAATTTTTTATATACATAATATTGAGACTATAAGATGATTTAGTAGGTTTTTGGTGAAGTATAAAATGATTTTGAAAATTCAATATATTTAATTTAGTTATTAAGAACTCTTAAAAATTAACAAGATCAACAAATATGATTGCAATAAAATATTAAGACTATGTTTAGTAAGTGTTGCTTGTGGCTTATTTAGGGATGGTTGGTATGGGTAGAGTACTACAGTACTTATTCCCATACCTGCATTTTAAAAAAATACGCGTATCCAGTCTCATACTCGCGCGGGTATAAACATTAATTCCCGTACCTGTATCCTCTGGGTACATGTATACCCATTTTGTACCCATTATTTGCGCTTATTTGAAAAGAAAAAATATTTATAAAGAAAAATATGTTTATATAACTTCTCATAAGTAACACAATAATACAAAAATTCAATAAGTAGTTGCTGAACAATGTACAAATATAGATAAAAAAATAAATATTCAAAGATTACAAGTGTTAAATGTATCTTAATACAATAATTTTTTAAACTAAAATTCTTAAAATTAATAAGCGAAACTAAATATACAAGTTATTTGTTGGCGATGACTTTATCTTGTGAGAGATTCGATTGATCGGTAACATCAGAGCGACAACGAAATAAATCTGTACAATGATTGGCCCTTCGTTTGGAATCACTTGATAACCTCTTGTAATGTTTTATAATTGTTAGGTTTTAATAAGATAAACATTAAGAATGAGAGTAGAGTTAAGGCAAAAAAGTTCAAGTACTAAACAATAACGAAAAGTGAATACATAAAATATTTTTTTTAACTTTTAAATTTGAAATTGTAAGAAAAATAACAGAAATACTTTTAACTCATGCACTATACAAAAGTATTTTGTCAAAAATACAAATATTTGAAAAATTATTTTAATGAATTAAATATTTATAATGTATATAAATTTTAAAAGAAAGAATTTGAATAAAAGATAAATGGTCACAATAAAATTTTATAATAAAGAAATATATGTGTATATCAAAAAAATTATATTTTTTATCCGAAGAAAAAATTAACAAATAAGAATTAACAATATTTTTTTATAATATGTTTATTATTTATCATTCATCTTATGATTTAAATATCAATATAATTTTATTAATAAAAATATTTATGTGAAAAATATTTTATATATGTGTCATATATAAATAATATTTTAAAAAAAATTAATCTCATATCAATTGTATAATAATTAAATTATATTAGCCTAATTAAACGATATAAAATAGTAAGTGAATTTTTCTATTAAAAATATAAACTAAAATAATTTTTTTTGTTTACTTTATTATTAAATATATTTTTATATTAATCTTATATAACTTCACATAAGTAGTATAATAAAACAAAATTTCAATACATATAGCTGTGAAACAGAGTTTAAGCGCGCCCCCGCATGTACACACACACACATATATATATATATATATATATATATATATATATATATATATATATATATATATATATATATATATATATATATGGATATGAGGTAAGATAGATACTTAGATACCCATACCCGCACCCATGTAGCGGGTAAATATCTTACCCATTGTGGATAAATTTTATGAGTGTCCATCGAGTACTTTACCAATCATCATCCTTAGGCTTATTTAAAAATTTGTAATTTATTGATTTGGTCAATAAATTTGTAAAATTGGTCGATAAATAAAAAATAAAGATTTTAAAGTTAACTATTTTTTATTACATTCTTATTTTTCATTTTTTTAAAAGGCAACTTACTCTTTACACAATTAAAATTTCTCTACTTTTACGATAGTTTTATTTATTTATTTCTATTTTTTTATTTTCTCTCGTGCCACTTTTATCCAAATATATTTTATGTAAAAAAAATATAATTAAAGTATTTAATGTTCAAAATATATATAAATTTTTTTATATAATTAATTAATTAATATTACATAAATAAAATATATATTAATATAATATTATATATCTTTAATTCATTTAAGACAAATCAATTAGTTATCGAATTAGTTTATTAAATAATTTTAATTTTATAAACTATTTATATATAAGCTTTAAGTGTACAATTTTAGTTAGTTTGACGTCTAGAAAGCTAAAAGCTCGCATCCTAAATAATTTTAATTTTATAAACTATTTATATATAAGCATTCTTCTAAATTTTTTTAAAAGCAAAATGAATTACATTGAAATTTCTTTGAAGAAAAAAAAATAAAAATAAAAATAAAAATAGGAACCATACTTTTAGATATTAAGATTTTTCAACTAATTCTAAATGAAGATTCACACATCTGCCAAATAAACATGCAGTACCAAAGAGAGATAGGGAGGAGGAAAAGTCACTGATCACTGACGTCCATATATGGAAAGAAAAGGAATCAAATTTTCAGTTGTAGCATATTATCGTAAACCCCAAATTATATTTACCTCAACTTTGTCGATCGGACCCTTGGGTTGAACTCTTGAAGCCGAAATTGAAAATCCTTAACTTTCTACTGGAACACCGTCCAAAATACTATTAACATAAAAGTGTAATGTAACTAAAATTCAATTCCTGAGTCCAATTAAATAAGCATTGCTAGATATTTGAATGCTTCAAGACACTTAATTCAAGCAATTGTTTCATCCTCTTAACGTGAGAAATCTCTCCTTCATTTAAACTCCATTAGAAAATTATTAAGTACATAAAATATGTTTATATTCAACCAAAGCAAATATAAAATGCATTCAAATAAGGAGTACGAGGGTTCAGAACAAACGAAGAAAAAAAATAGAGAAAAATAAGTAATACACTTTTCTATTGAAAGAATTTAAATATTTTGTACAAAAATTAATCAAGATGTGCTTTTATATACACAATGAATGAATTAATGGATATATATTAACCTAACAAACTTACTATACATGAATTAATATAAAATTAAGATCCTAATATAATTTAACTAATACTTAGTTGTTTCTAACCAACACATTATTATACAAAATACAAAGTTGTGAATATAGATCTATGTATGATCTTTTATACCCTCCTTCAAACTTATTGTAAGAGGAGATGTAATAGTGAGTTTGGGCCTCAATTTCAAAAGGGTTGTAGCATAGGTTGGTTTGATTAGCAAGTCAACAATCTAAAATCTTGAAGCAATATGTTTGACACAAATTTCTCCAATTACCTGACAAACCAAAGATCTAATTCAAAGTGTTTGATTTTGCTATGGAGAACATGATTTATTGTAAGGAGAATAACACCTTGATTGTTACACCACATGAATGGTGCTTTGGTTATTTTGATGTACAATTCAGTTAGTAGGGACTTTATGTAGGAAATTTCTACAACCAAGGATGCTAAGCTTTTTGGAATTCAGCTTTAGTGTTGCTTCTTAACATTACTCTTTGCTTCTTAGTAGGCTAGGATACTATATTAGAACTAAGATAGCCACAAAATCCTGATAGAGATTTCATATCAGTGGGATCAACAGCCTAATTACTATCACAGTAAGTTATGTTATCTAGATTTTTTTTCTAGTTGAATGTAAAAGTATATTATGCTTGCTAAGTATCTTAGAAGCCTTTTTACAACCTTCCAGTGATAATTGAGAGGATTATGCATGTATTGACAAAGCTTATTCACTGTGTAAGCAAACTGTGGCCTTGTGATAGTTGCAAATTGTAAGCTACCAACCACATACCTATATAAGGAACTTCCTTTAAACAAGTAGTGCCTTCTACAATAAGCTTGGGAGAAACTACCATAGGTGTCTTAATTGTCTTTGTTGAGTTCATTTTTAGTTTAGTTACGAGATTACTGATATACTTAGATTGGTTGAGATGAATTCCTTCTTATGAGTCAGATTTTGTTTCTATCCCAAAGAAATAGTGTAGAGGGCCTAAGTCTTAAAGAGAAAAGGTAAGTTACAATTTCTGTATGAGACTACTGATTAGCAATTCAAGCACTTCATCTGACAAGCATCACTCAAAAGGGTACAATACTGGTTAGACCTATCACCATAGTCCATTGATCATTCATTCTCCGCTATCACCTCTAGGTTTTCAGAACCAAAAGTATAAGTCAAAAAGGTGCAATACATGTTAGACCATCGCCAAAGCCCATTGATTATTCATTATTCATTACTGCCTGTTAGTCTTCATGCATTTCATAGACACAAGATCATTATGATTACCAATATAAAAGCCCCAATTTTTTAAAAACTTCGGTTATTGTTATCACCACCATGGTTGAGATTAAACTTTCACATTTGCAGTCTGACCCTTAACCATGGCAAAGTTCTTTACCTTAGAACACCATTTTGCATGATTGTCTGCAGTGAGCTTTTCTTCTTGAAT